GACACCTGTAGCAGCAGTTCCTCCTCCTCCTCCTCCTCCTCCTCCTCCTTCTTCTTCTATTACTATATCATTTCTCCATGAATTTATTTTTAAATTCCTTTTCAATGTATTTTTTTATTTTGGAGACAGGTTCTTACTCTGTAGCCTAGGCTGATTTCAAACTCCCATTGCTTTCTGTCTTTGCTTTCATAGTGCTGTGACTATAGCTGTGCATTACCACACCTGGAAAAAAACAAAACAGGGCTTCCTGTGGACCAGGCCGGGGGCTGGGGGGGGGGGGGGGGAGACAGCAGGGGGGAAGGGAATGACTGCACTGCACCTTAGCAGAGATCCTGTACTGCACCTTAGCAGCCTGTTCCCAGTGACAGCTCCAAGGTTTCCTTCTTCCTTTTCACACAGTCCTCACTGACCCCCGGCCTGTGCCCTTGATGCCCCTGAGCACAGCAGGAACTGTCCCTGCTGGCTGATGAGCACTGTGCAACATCGGAGTTCCTACTTGCTCATGTTACCGTAATCAGGAAAAACAGATTTTTAGTGTGTGTGTGTGTGTGTGTGTGTGTGTGTGTGCGTGCGTGCGTGCGTGCGCGCGCGCGCGCGCGCGCGCGCATGCGCACGTGCATGCTGGCATAGGAGCTTGAAGTCAGAGCCTCATTTTCTCTTTTGACTTTTTCACTCACAGCTGCTGCTCTACTCCTCAAGTCACACCTCCACTTCCAACTTTGTGCTGGTTAACTGGATATAAGAGTCCCATAGATGTTCCTTCCCAGGCTGGCTTTGAGCTATGATCTTCAGGTCTTAGCCTGTTGAATAGCTAGGATTACAGGCCCCAGTCACTGGTGTTTGGTCACATCTTCTTTATTGACATTCCTTTCTCCATTGTTACCTAACCAATAATGGTATGTGCACATCTTAGAGGTCACAGACTAAGAGTCACAGACTACTAGGCTAGGCCCTAAGACAGGATGGATTTGGTACAGAGTAAAACTATGGTTTCTATTTTTGCTGCCCCATTTTCAACACTACTAGAAAATCAAGGTGGGGTGAGCCAAGGCCTCTCTGTTTTGTTATTGTTCTTTTACTCCTCTGCCGTGTATTTTCTTGGCCAACAAGTTCTCCTATGAATAAGTAATCAGACAGTTTTTCCTTCAGACATGCTTTGAAAAGGAATCAAGAACTGAGCAAGAGGCTCATTCTTCATCTTCATTGCTACTTTGGCAAAATATAAAATTGATTCGAAACATAACTGAAGTCTTACAATATTCCCATGGTACCATTAGTTTCTCAAAGTATTTCTATGATACTGTAGAGCCATAGCTATGTTTCTGCAGTGATTATCTATCATGAGCTGAAGAGCCAACTTTCCTTAGAAACAGAGAAAAACTGTTAGGAAAATAACATAAGTATTATTATTATAATCTCTTAAGTAGATGTACCATCATCTCAATTTGGCATGTGATTGTAGTGAAGTACATCTTGATCAGTGCCACCCCTCCGGCCCTTCTCCCATCTCTCCCAGCCCCGCCCCTCCCCTCCAGTGTCTGGCTCCGTGTTCACATGAGTGCATTGATTTTTATGTGCGGGATGGTGCATCCTGTGCCCACAGGGACAGGCGGCACAACTGGGACGCCTGGGAAGCTGTTGTGGTTGGAAGTCCTGGCCATTATCCCACTGTATCCCCATCACCTGTCTGCTTTTCCTCCCTCTGAGTCCACCGAGACAATACTCTTGGCTTTCCTTTGCCCTCATTGTTGTACCAGAGTCTGGATGCCCCATGCAGGTTGGGTTGGGCCAGCAGGAAGAACACATCCCTTATCCCCAGACTGCTTTCATCCATTGCTGTGCTCTCTGAATCAAGAATTGCTCTCTGCTCTTAGTCTCTCTTCTATTCATCTCCTATCTCTCAGTCTCCCTCTTCCCCTCAGTCTCCCTCGCTTTTCCTCTTCCTCATAGATTTGCCTCTGTGTTGAGAAAGAGAAAAACACTGGTTATCAAGCACAGTGGGAAACTGTCATTTTTTAAATGACTGGAAATAGAGTCTTCCAGAATTTTCTGCCTTGGGCTGGGCTTCTAGCAGCAACCCTCTGGTTACATGGAGTCTCCCCAGTAGCTAAGATTACAGGAATGAGCCACTGGCTCAGAGGCTCTCTACCAATTTGTTAGAAAACCTTTTAATAGGACCAGAGTGTGGAGACTTCAAAAGGCCTGGGGAGGGGCAGGAGCGGGGAGGGAGGGAGCCGTTCTGCATGCCTGGTGCTGGTATTTGTGGCTGCAATGGCTGTGAGCAAGGGAAATTGAGTAACTTCCTTCACCCTGAATATATCAACTATTTGTGGGGTGCCCATGGCTTGACCATAGAACATAGGAACAGAGTTTTATCCTGTGCAGCTAGGCAGTGCTTGTGAATACCTGTCACCATATTGGGAATGTACAGTTGAAGAAAGCGCAATAATTTCTTGAAACTGAAATAGTATCATAGATTGTCTTCATTTTTAGTGTCACATGACGTAAGTCTGAATAGTGTCTCATGCTGGAGTTAATGAATGGACACCAGGGCTAATTACACCACATGCTATGGGAAGTGAAGCCCTGAGTCTGTGGACCAGGCCCGGCCTCCAGTGCAGAAGCTTCCAGAATGTTGTCCAGCGAAATCAGAGCAGCCTCAGCTCTGAGAGGTCCCAGAGATCAAGGCAGGTTGACAGTCAGCTGAACGTTTCTACCCAAGCTCCTGAGAAGTCTGTTTATAGTGAGGTTATATTGTTATTGCTGTTGTTGTTATTGCTATTGTGTGTGTACTGGGGCTTGAACTTAGGGCCTGGATGCTGTTTCTAAACTTTATTCACTTCAAGCTGGTGCTCTACCATTTGAGCCACAGCTCCACTTCCAGCTTTTTGCCAGCTAATTGGAGATAAGTTTCTCAGAGTTTTCTGCCTGAACTAGCTTTGAACCATGATCCTCAGGTTCCTGCGTCATCAAGATTCCGGGGTAGGCCCCCAAAGTCTGGCTCATGCACATTTACCAATGGAAACTTTCCTCGGATAAATGTTCCTCCATTCAGTGCAGAGGCAGCGCTTTCAGGGGGACCCTGAGCCGGGACAGACTCTTGCAAGGGTGCCCCACTCCCGGCCGCAAGGGCCCAGTACAGCATGCTCTTCCTCAGAGGAAGAGAATCGATGAGAGGTGACCAAGGCCTCTGGCAGCCAGCTCCCCAGGCCTGACAGAGGCTGCAGGTGGGGAGAGCAGCCCCACGCCCCCCCATCCCCATCCCCCATCCCCGCATCCCTCCCACCCCGTCCATGCATGCCCCCATTCCCACATCCCCCTCATCCCTCCTCCTGTCCCACGTCCCCTTCAGTCTGAAGCCACACAGAGCTACGGTCCCGGGCCTCCTGGCAAACCCTCCTCTATCTCACAGATCTGCCAAGTTGGTGCTGAGCCCTGGACACCAGTGACCGCTGTTGACTGACTGGCCCCCAAAGCTCGTCTAGCTACAGTGGGATAAACACACATGAATGCATTAAGTACTACAGACTAATACAGTATGCAAATATACCTTTATATACCACCTGGAGTCTACTTCAGAATAGAGCACAACATAATTTCCCGTATTTTTTATCCATCTTTAAATAAAATGCTTTATGAACCTAGGGAACTCCGAGCAGACTTTGGTCTGAGAAGCTGACGCAAATCCTGAGCTGGCAAACCGAGGGGCAGGAGGAAGGGAGCTGGCCTCTGCTTTCACTGAGGGACAGGAGGAAGGCAGGCTGACCTCCGCTTTCACCTTTGTGGCTCTTTTGTTAAAAATCACTCTGTGGAATTGTTTAAATAGGGATACAGGTGGATCCATTGCAACAATGAGATGTACAAGACGTTATGTCAAAAAATGAACTTTACAACTTTGGCATGGGTGGGAGGGGGAAATGGAGGGGGTGGAAATGGGAAAGGATGGTAAGGGGAAACAAAGGAGGAGGCAACAATGCTTGATAAGAAATGTACTCATTACCTTGCTCATGTAATTGTAACCCCTCTGTACGGTATTTTCACAAGTTAAAAAATCACTCTGTGGCCAGGAGCTGGGGTCTCACGCCTGTAATCCTATCTGGGAGGATGAGATCTGAGGAACATGGTTCAAAGCCAGCCCAGGCAGGAACATCTGTCCATGAGACTTATCTCTAAGTAACCACTGGAAAACGTGGTGCTGTGGCTCAAAGTGGTAGAGTGCTAGCCTTGAGTGAAAAAGTGCGGAGACAGTGCTCAGGCCCTGAGTTCAAGCCCCATGGCCACCACTACCCACAACAGAGAACAACACTCTGTGTGTGTGTGTGTGTGTGTGTGCGCCACTACTGGGTCTTGAACTCAGAAGGTGGACATTGTGCATAGATTTTGCTTAAGGCTTTGCTCCACCACTTGAGCCACAACTGCACTTTCAGCTTTTTGTTGCTTAGTTGGAGATTAGAGTCTCATGGACTTTGCTTCCTGGGCTTGAACTCAGAACATCAGCCATCAGACTCCTGAGTAGCTAGGATTACAGGTGGGACACTAGGCACACCCGGCTCTGCCTGGCCCTGGCTCCAGTCTGACTGCTACGATGTAGACAGGCAAGTTTTCAGTCCTGAGCAAATTGTTTTTTCCCACTGTGGTGGGAACAATTCCTTCCCTGAAACAAATGGCAAGCTTAATTACGTAATGCATTTCCCGCATCAATTTCTGCATGGTGATTTACTATCTCCTGTATGTTTTCTTATTGCCATGAAGTAGATCACCCCATAATATTCAAGCAAGTGGGTTCTGACAGCCCCATAACCAAGGGTGCTTGGGGAGAGAACACAGATGCATCACAAAAATCCATGATTACATGTGCAAGGCCTCACCTTAAAAGATGAGTAACTCTTATTAAAACCACAAATGCATGTTCCATTTCTGTGTTGGAAGAAAGAAACCTACCTTATAAATATGTAAGTTCCTGAACACATCCAGAATAAAAAGCACTAAAAAAACTGATATGTAGACAAAAGTTTATTTACACCATACAACATTTTAAATATTTTATACACAGTGCAGTAGAGAGAAGCACTTGGAGCTCTCTAGAGAAAACTGCGATAATAAAGATGTGAAATATATTATTCATATAAAAGTGAGATTATTACTTTATTGCATTTAAAGCAATGAAGAATGTAGCTCAACAAACATTCATTTAATGACAAAAACTTTGCTTTTTTATATTATAAAGTAAAAAGTGTAGTAATGGCCAAACAGACTGTTATAAACTTTAAAAACTGCATAAATATATACATTGTGCTTCATGGTGAAGTTTTCTGGAAAACTAGACCACATGAAGCGGTTACAACACGAGTCGTTGCGTGAGGTTTATCTATAGAGATCCATCACCTTACGAATCCATTCCACGCACGCACAACACTGGGTCGGACTGTACACCGGGGCCTCTCCCCCAATGGTGCAGGCGGGCACAGGGCCAGCCGCGGACATAGCACGGGACATCCCAGGGACCCACGCTGGGCCTGGGTGGTCACCGAGCATGGCACCGTCGTGTCCGCCTCGGCCCAACTGCCCGGTCACACCTCAGTCTGGAAGTCCCCTTCCTGCACGTCCAGAGGCAAGCTCAGACACTTCTCCCACTCAGCCGGCCTCAGCTCCAGGGCGTCCTTGGTCTCTGTGTCCAAGACATTGATGGTGGTGTAGTGCTGGTACTCGCTGGGGGCCTGGAATGTGTCCCACGGGCTCTTGCTGGGCACTGGGGCCTCCTGTGGGGAGAGGATGGGAGTGGTTCACAGGGTGTCTGCATGAAGAGGTGGCAGCCAGGATGGAGGGGAGGGATCTGAGGAGGGGAGAGAGCTGAGGAAGGGAATTGGGGCCGCTGCAGGCACAGCTTGGCCAGCCTTGTCCTTTCACTGAACAAATGAGTGGCCACTTTCCTAACACGTCCTGAGAGTTCAAACGTGCAAACAGTGCTAAGAGGCAATGTGCAAGACTTTTGCTGTTTTGTGCCTGTCCTAGGGCTTGAACTCAGGGCCTGGGTGCTGTCCCTGATCTTTTGTGCTCAAGGCTGGTGCTGTCACTTGAGCCACAGCTCCTCTTCTAGAATTTTGCTGATTGATTAGAAATACATGTCACAGAAACTTTTCTGCCCTGGTTGTCTCTGTCATTCTCAGATCTCAGCTTCCTGGGTAGCTGGAGTTACAACACGAGCCATGTGTGCCTGGCTTCTGCTGAACTTTTGAGAAGTTCTATTATATGGATAATAAACCAATCCATTGGATAACTTTGTTTTTATTTGTGGTACTGGGACTCAGACCCTGGGCCTTTTGCTTAGGAGACAAGCGCTCCGCCCCTTGTGCTCTAACTCCCACTGTTTACTTTTCAGACAGTTTACTTTCCACTCCTGCTGGGAGCAGCCAGGGACTGTGATCCTCCTATTTCTCCCTCCCATATTGCTAGGATTAGACATATGCTACTATGGGCAACAGGCTGGCTTTCTTGTTCATTCCCTGGTCACAGGCAGGATCCCCAGGAGAAGCATGGTTCCTGGGCTCTGAGGTTGCCCCTTAGAGTTCTGTGGTGAAGAGCTGCTGGCCCACAGTGGGCATGGCCCTGTGGTGGCAGGGATGGAGCTGGCGGCCAGTCGGTCGGTGGTACCCCCAGTCCCCCCTTCTCCCTGTGAGGTGGGTGTGAGCAGGGGCAGCCTGCAAGCCTGGGACCGTGTGTGACTTTCTCAGCCCTGAGTGCATAGTGCAAGGCTGAATACAGGAGCAGCTGTGCGGGAGCTAGTGCATGAGGCACCTGAATGGCCCTGGCTGGAGGAGGGAATCTGGTGGGAGGACTTGATCAGAATCTGCATGTTTCTGAGTTTATGAGGCTGTGCTTTGAGCTCAAGTAAGCATGGAGGAGAAACAGACTGAGTGTGGTAATTCTAAAAATGCTAGCCTGATTTTGGGATGCGTGAGTTGAAATGAGGGGAGATGAGTGTGAGAACAGGGTCCCCCAAAGCCTGCTTGGTGGCCTCACACCTCCCAGGGCCTGGGGTGGGCGGGCTGTCCACTCTCTTGCCAAGGCCAGGGTGGAGGGTTAGCTCAAAGCCGTCCATGTCTGTACATTGTCTCCAAAAATTAAAAAAAAGTAAAAGGACACAGGACGGAAGGACAGAAAGGCCACCAGTGTGTCTGCTCTTATAGGCGTGGGGCATGTCCCAGGCCCTGGGAGGGGCGCAGGGCCCTGGGCGGGGTTTACTCTCTGGATCTCACTACCAAGCCTTAAATGGTTTCCTGCCTGGGAAGGGAGACTCGGCCCGTTCCTTTGGCTTCCCTTTGACTTCCTAATTTCTGCCACTCTCCGCCAACTCCATCCTTTGTAGCCACAGCCCCTCCCCTCCCCGAGAAAACAATTTCTAGATTCTTCAGAAACATCTTACTCTGCCTAATTATGAAATTTTTCCATCAGCAATGTGCCATCACAAATTATGTGCCTGAATTAGGATAATGAACTCATTCATATATTCAGTATTGATCAAAACTGAACAAGGAACTCCTTTTGTTTTCTGCCCTCAGATATTTAAGACAATAATTGAGCAGGGACAGCAATGCTGTCCTAACTTTCCAAAAGGTAAATATTTATACATCCCTTCCAGAAAAGGCAGGCTGCCGCAGAGGCGGGGTGTCATGAGGAGGCTATTTTTGTTGTCAGGAATTGGAGACACAGATACTTGTGCTGTTAATGATTCCATGTGCGTATGTGTGAGAGGGGAGTGCAGTCGCACACACAGCCGGCTGTGTTTGGTGTGGAAGGCTTTCAGATTGGTAAACACATTTTTCTCCTTCTTTCTTTTTACATATGAATTTCTTCTGTTTATTTCAATGTTGCCTTTCAATATTCTGAAATGGGTAGTTAATGTGTTTAGGCCTAATCTCAGTGGGGGTAATTCTCATTCATCTGCTGGCTAAAATTTGATGGCTTCCTGTGAAGAGGAGAGCAAGCACGGAGAGTGCAGGTGCCTCCGGAGGCCAAGGCTGCGGGCATCCGCGGCCCATCGTGCTGAGACTCGACTAAGAGTCCAGCACAGGCTGTGGTCTGTCCACTTGTGTTCTTTAGCTTTTCATAAACCACACTCATCAGTAAGATGGGGCTAAGTCAGTTAAACGCTGTGGAATGATGGGATGTAGGTGTGATGCAACAGCATGCACAGACCCATCCATTATAAATACATAGCAGAAGTAACTACCTCTGTCTCTGTACCCATGATCAATCCATTGACTGATCTCTACTCTCATCTATTTCCATCTCTACCATCTGTTTGTACCTATCATCTCTATCCAATCTATATATGTATCTATCTACATCTCTCATCGATCAATATCATCTACATCTATCAATCTACCTATCTATCATCAATCTATTCCATAGCCAAGGAGAAGCACCCAGCATGGGCCAGGCCTGGGGCTGGTGGCAGCCCTGGTGGGGAGATGGGGCTGGCTTTTGATCACAGGACTGAGGAGTCCATCTCATGACTATTTTCTAGTTAGGAAAAGGAGCCAGAGTCCTGTGACTTGCCGGGGATGCAATCACTACGGCTGTGTTTTCACCTGAGCGAGGGTCTCTACATCACACTCCAGTGCTATCGTGAAGAAAGAGGGAGCCGCTGGCGACTGAGCTATGACCATGGCTGCTCTGTGATTGCATGCTGCTGCTGTGTGTGATAAAACCCTATGCAGGCAGCAGGCGGTGTAGACGGTGGAGAGAGCCAGGCGGCTGGAGCCCAGAGTCCACACTGCCCTGTTGACTGGCGAGGACAGCGCCCAAGCCGACTCACCACAAATGCGGAGTTTCCTGGAGGTAAAGCTCCTTCAACCTGGTTCCAGGCACAACTTTATGTGTAGATCATAACATGTGATGGCTTTCTGGTGGCAGGTATTCAAATAAAAATGGAAAAAATAACCCACTATTTTGACACTTCAATCAGCTGACGTTTACTCAGGATAAAATGGCTGCCAAAGCCACCATATTTTTGCTATGTAACCAATTCTAATTACAATGAGGGAGACATTTAAAGTATGGATAACCTACTTAAGAGGTTCTAATTTTGTGTCCCGCTGACATCTCTGGGACACATTTTGAGGACTGATTATTTTTCTGGGCTGTATGAGCAGTGTGCAAAACAGGGTGCGTGCAAGGCCACATCTGCACCAGCCAGGGAGGCGAGAACTCACCATACTGCTTGTATTTGGTATATCCCGAAATCTGTCCAGGGTCTGGAATTTCTGATTGAGCTCCTGAAACAGCTCCATGTGCCGCTTCCTCGTGTGCATGACCTTCTGCAAGAGAGAACAGCATGGCTCTCATTCCTGGTTTGATTTCTGTACCCAGGAAGAAGTTTTGTTATATGCTTGTTTAAATAATAAGGGGCAACAAGTCTGACAGAAAGCAGGGGTCCCAAAAGGCACCACAAATACACTTGATGGGCACTGAGTCCTTATCTCCTGTTTAGGACATCTTTAAAGAAAATAGAAGACTCAGCTTTCTTTTCCTTTTTTTAAATTAAATTTTCTTTGTGTTTTTGTACTGGTCCTGGGACTTGAACTCAGGGCCTGGGTACTGTCCCTGAACAATTTTTGGTCAAGGCTGGAGCCACTGGCAGCTTCACTGCCAGCACTTTGCTGGTTAGCTGTCTCGCAGACTTTCCTCAGAGCTGGTGTTGAGCCTCTATCCTCAGCTCTCAGCCTCCCAGTAGCTAGGGCTACAGGGTTTCTTGATCAGACACCCCACCCATCATTCTCCCCTGGTCCATCCGCTCCTCCAGGCATTTTCCTGCTGCTTGGTTTTTCACTCAAGGCACGATTTGGTGGTTAATCCACGGACTTTCCTGCCCCGCTGGCTTTACAACGCAATCTTCAGACCTCAGCTTCCTGAGTAGCTAGGATTACAGGCAAGAGTCATCTGCATTTGTAAGATTACCAAACATATCAATTTTTTTCTTGTAGGTATATTAAAAGTGCAGCAGTTTTTCTGGCATAAGATTTCCATCACTGAAAGGTTAAATGTGCTTTATAAAAATTGTTACAATATTTTTCAAATGTTAAAATTTTGGACTTTTAAGTGCTGAGTCCTTGATGTTTGCCCTCTGTATGTTTCCTGCCTAGAAGCACTAAAGCCCTAGCTTGCTGCACTCAAGTGGGGGCGAAATCTCAGGCATGGCCAGTAAGCCTGACTCAGAGCACTGGAGTATGAAACACAGAGACCAGAAAGCCTTGCACTTTCCGTGTGAGCTCAGGGCCTGGTTCTCGCATGGCTGTCTTGGTTGGCTGGTGCTCCAGCCTGACTTTGTCCTGGTTAGTGGGAGGTAAAGTTTAGAAGACTTCTCTACCTGAGGTGGTTTGGAGCCATAAGCCTTCAGATCTCTGATGTCTTGGAGTACAGGTGTGAGCCACTGGCACCTGGCTCAGATGGTTGTTTGTGTGATGGCATAAAATCTTGACAATACATGTTCTGGTGTAACATGCGGCTGCTAAGCTTCTCCATTCACAGACACACGTGAATATTCTTCATCCCTCTTATACCCTTCCCTCTCATTAACTCAAGTCACGAGTAGGGACGGCCTTGAACTAATCAGAGTCTCTTTTGTATCTCAGAATGTTTATAAAAGACCATAACATAGAATTTGCTGTCAAAGGGAGAAAATGTCCTTCTCAAGTTTGATTTTTAAATATTAGAAATCCATCTTTTGGTGAGTGTCCAAGGTTGTGGCTTCCATGTTTGTGTATGGTTCTGAAGTGTGTGTGCTCACAAGGAGCTCACTGAGTGTGCACTGGCATCTTCTACTGACACCTCAGCCCTATTTTTAATATTTAGTTTATTCTGTTGTAACTGTATCAGTACTAGGGCTTGAAAATATGGCCTCGAGTTCTCACTTGGCTTTTATGCTGAAGGCTGGTACTTTACCACTTGAGCCACACCTCCACATCTGGCTTTTTTGTGGTTAACTGGAGATAAGAGTCTCACAGAATTTTCTTCCTGAGCTGACTTTGAACTATAATTCTCCTACCTCAACCACCTGTGTAGGTAGGGTTACGGGTGATAGTCTAGCTCCATTTTTAAAATTTTCAAAAGTTAAGCGTTTGGAAAAACAGTCACATCTCCAAGAGATGATTAATAATATCTCATTTTTTTCTAGAGAGATCCTTGCAGAGTATATTTCCTTGAGGGAGAGGGTGTGCAAAGAAGGGCGAAAAAGAAAGGCAAACTGAATGTTTAACATATTTTAAAAAGCCTATTTTTCCAAAAATTTTACTTCCCTAATTTGATTTGCACACATCTAGGTGGTTATTATCTACTTTTCTCTAGCCTACATTTTAAGTTCTTTGCAATAATAAGTATCTTTCCTCGTTCCTCTGAACATGCTATGAAGTCCATGGTCAGATGAGAGGAAATGAGACGGAGGAGCAGAGCAGGGGAGACGAGACGGAGGAGCACCCAGGGTGCTGGCTGATGACATCTGGTAGGAAGGAGATCTGCACAAGAAGCCTGGTGGGGTCAGGGACCACAGGCCTGGCAATGTGAACCCGGTCCTTGAGCCCATGGGGAGATGGAACATGACCTGAAATGTCAACTTTGTGTCTGAGCAACACCAAACAGACAAAGCAGAGCTGCGCTGGGAGCTTGCTGCTCTTCATGGCGGGCCAGCTAGCCAAGGGTCTTTGGCACAGATGGTCCCCATGGTCAGCAGGTAGAGTCTCTGTGCACGTCTCCCCCGAACTCAGTACGCAGGCACTTGGGCAGCCAAGACGAACCCACTAGACTGGGCCTGGCCTTGTCTCATGAGGAGGCCGGTGTCCGGTACTGGGATGGAGATGACACGGAATTGGAGCAAACAGTGGGATTTGTAAGCAGAAGGACATGGGTGTGGGCATGCCCACATGTTCACTCTCAGATCTCGGCTGACAGTTCTGTCAGTTATTCCTATGATCCTGCCTATTCCCTCCTTTCCTAAAGTCCAGAGGTGCTTGGGTTCGTTTTGATCCTGTGTTCTCTTCAAGGAGATGGCTCCTTTCCGGGATGGGACGCATGCTCTCCTGTGAGGGACCCGGTGCCAGGCAGCGCCTGGTCTCGGCACAGAACGTGTAGGCTGGGTTTTCCCCACACAACTGCTGGCACTGTGTCTTGTGCCATGTCCCAGCTGTGCAGAGTGTGGGCCCTGGCTGTGAAGACAGACCTGTGGGCCAATACCCACTGCACCCCACTCCTGTTCGGGCCACTCCCCGTGGCTTGCTGTCCAATGCCCCAGCCACGTCAGCTGTGCCCCGCTGGAGAGAAGGGCCAGGGCCGAGGGAGACTCTGTGGCACTTCACTCTAAACTGGGGGATTTCATTTCGAGGATCGTTACGATATACTAAAAAATACACGAGAAAAATACAAACTCACCGTGGTCGCAGCGCTTTCTAACCAACAGGTCTTTCCTAACATTTCACACACGTTCACAAAAGCTGTTCTGAAATGAATATGGGAGTGAAAAATCCGGATGTTCAAATATGGGCCCAAACTCCTCCGAAATATTCGCTGAGAACATGTCCTCAGGCCAGGTAATAGTCCTAGATTGGAACGGCGCTCTCGGCTCTGCTAGGAATGGTGACGGCGGTGCTGCCCAGCACTGGGCTGAGGCTTATGTCAGAGCACAAAGCCTGTGCAGCTGACCGGGTCTCCACCAGCAACTTCTTCCCCACTTCACGGAGAGGAAGGCTCATCAATGGAAAAACACGAATGTTGGGGGATTTCTAACCTTGCCAGCCATGTTCTGGGACAGCAATGGTGCTAGTTCCCACAGTGAGGGTCTTCTCACATGATTTTTCCTTGCCTGCTAAACGAGATGTTTTTCATGCCTACAAATCTTGCAGGTCCATGTCAGCGATGCATTTTGGAACTAGCCTGACTTCAGTGTTGATCAAGCTAACTTCTGATCTTTGTTTTGTGACTTAAACATCATGCTTTCCAAAGAAATTGGCTTCTGTGAAAACCTCAATTTACAACTAAGGTTTCAAAACTGCTGTGTGCTCCAATGTCTATCCCAGGTGTATTTTCTACTGAAGTTGAAGATGGCTTATATGGGCAATCCCTTCAGAATTGTTTCCTTATACTGCTCAGAGAATATGACATGTATGCTTTGCTACCACCATCAGTGCGTGGTGCTCCTATCTGGCTGATGTCACTCAGCATGTTCGAAGTAGTGAGGACCCACCCAGGGGGCCAAAACTGGCCTTCCTGGACTCCTGCCTTTCTCCTCTCCAGGCTGTTCTTCACCATGTGCTGCAGTAGCTGGAGAGGGGCAGGCAGTAGTGAGGCCTGGCGGCCATGAAGGCCTTTCTGGCCCTCAGATGTGTGAGGAGGAGGAGAACCAGAACAGTGCCCTGCTGTGATGTGTGTGGTCTTGCGTGCCTTCTGCATCCTGACAACTGTTCTAGAACTTTCAGAGATGTGGGGCGGCTATGTCCTGGATACACTTGTGTGGGCGATCTCACTTCTGTCCATTTCAGGTTGTGAACCTGCAGACTGGCATCCAATCCTTCTCTGGCCTCAGCTTCTGGGGTGAGTCTTGCCCTGCTGTGTTCTTTTGAAGGTTTTCAGAAGGATGGGAAGTGGGAATCATGGGCGCCACAGCTAAAATCTACCGAGGGAGCAGCAGCGATGATTTTATTTCCTCATCTCCACAGCATGGGGAGGCCGAAGCCATTGCCACCAATTTGTTGGGCAGGAGACGCGCTGGGGCAGGCTGCTGCATGCTGTCCGCACACAAGCAGCTGGGTGCCAGGTTCAGAATGTTACCCTGCCTTCAGACAGCTCACCCTGTACCATCCAGATCAGACGGAGAGGGTGAGGAGACAGCCAGATGGGATGGGATGGGCAGGGAGCACACATATGAGGAGACTGGACCATGCTGCCACCACGCGGCACTGTCAGGATCTTCCCGTCGGGTCTCTGAAAGCCTTGTGGGCAGGAGTGACGCATCTGTGCGTCCTGGATGCTTGGCACACAGTATGACATTTAGCAGGTACTTAATCCCTGTGAGCTAGCGACACTGAACAGACGCAACCTCACGGAGCAGGGGCCAGGGTGGTGCCCAAGGTCTGGAAGGCATCTTCTGTCTAAGAGCTCCCCACGGCAGAAGGCTCTGGAGGGAGCCCACGGCCCGCTCCCATTCTATGAGGCCTCCTTACCCTGCAGACACAGGGAAGGTACGTGGAACAAATTATCTAGATGGTTCAACTTTGTGATCTTTTATTTAGGTGAGTGTGTACAGGTACTGGGGTTTAAATTCAGGCCTCCACCATCATTTGGCTTTTTCCCCCTCAGTGCTGGTGCTTTACCACTTGAGCCATCCTCCATTTTTGGCTTTTTACTGGTTAATTGGAGAAAAACATCTACAAACTTCCCTGCCATGACAGGCTTCACACCATCATCCTCAGACCTCAGCTGGGATTAGCTAGGACTCCACATATGAGCCACGTTCACAGGTTCACCTTTTGCTGTCTGTGGACAAGGCCTGCAGAGATGCCTGAGGACAGGCTGTGTGAGGGGCATCTCCGGTGGAACTCAAACCAGCCATGAACGTTGCCTGGAAAGGAGTTCAAACAAGCTGATTTCCGGGGGAGGAGGTGGGTGTAAAGCAGGAAGGGAAGAAGCCTGTGGATTTCCATGGGATGGGCTGTCTGTGTCTGGGATGGTCATCATGTGTGTGGTGTGACAAGGAGTGGCAGGGATCTCAACATAAGCCAAGTGCATCTAGCCTCAGGGTAAACAAAGGACAGGGACCTCCCAAGACTGCACCCAGACTAATCCTCAGGGATCACGCACTGCACAAGACTAGTCTTACTCATTGCCAGGTCTCAAAGCAGCAATGCTATGCCTGGACAGTCTGTGGAAGACAGGTGCAGATCCCTGATGGAAACACTGAGGAGCCGCTGAAGAAACGATCATGTCTGAGCGCCCCCATCAGCCCCCATCCAATCCTGACAGCTTTAGGAATTATGACTAAAGAGCTGGAGGATATGATGTGCTTAAACGCTCCTTTATTGTTAGCAGGCCTTTCTGTGAAGTTGTTGTTGTTATATGAAGAAGGCCTGGCAGGAACAGAAGTGCCAGCTGGAGGAAGCTGCTCCCAGTCGCCATGGAGAATGAAGGAGGGGGAATTGGCTTTTCTGATGCCCAGTGCTGCACCTCTGACCTCCAGCCCTGTGATTTCACAGCCGCTTGCTTGCTGGGAGCCTGCATTTCAGATCTAGGTTTTTTACTCTGTTTTGCCACCAATGCCCTGTGGGTGATTTTGTGCTTCCTTGCCTCTGTAGCAACACAGCAGTCCACTGCTTTTACAACAATACGTCTGTGTGTGCACACTTCCAAATTCTTTTGGTAGCCCAAGGTAAGGGGCTGTATCACCTGTGCATGCCCATATATGTGCACACAAACATGTGCACACACACACACATGCATGCACATAGGCACAGCTTTCTCCCTTATTTGGGCTACTTAAGGAATTAATAGATTTGGAGGAAGAAGACAGAAGGGGTGATGTGTGAACTGTACTACAGTGTAGACATGGGAAAATTAACACTTAAATCTACCCTGCACTTCAAGCCCCAAGATGGACAAAAAAAAAAAAAAAGAGCGAGATTCTAAATGTACCCTGCATAACTATAACTATCAGGTAATAATAACAGAAAAGAATAGATAGGAAAAAATAACATGGTCTGCTTGGTAAAGGGCTGGAAATGTGGAAACAGCTGTGTTTTTATGAGAATGTATAATCGTGGTACTTGGAGACTAAAATCTTAGGACACAATGAAACATATGACCAAAAGCTTCCTTGGTGGGTTGCTACAATGGAAAGGCATCTGAACTTGCTGCTTATTCCTGGAAGTCAGAATCCGGATCATTTTTTGAATCTTATAGTTTCAATTATTACTGAAAATGATCATTTTCCTTGGATGCCCATCGTGTAGAACCATCGCTTACCACAGAGACCAATAAAAACCCACAGACCCTTCTTTTGATTCTTATACTCATTCTATACCAAGCGAAGGGCTCAGGTTCTCCCGTTCTGGAGACGTCTGTAATTTCCAAATGTCAGCTAGGAGTACTGAGTTCTATGCATACTCTGCCCAAGAAATATATAATGTATTATATTCAATTATGTCAGCAGGCTAGGAATCATATCCAATTATCAAGACACAAGTGCATGTCATGTGATGCTTAAACATTATTAACTTTATGCTCAACACAAGTTGCTGCAATGGTATGATTTTAGTAGATTCCAGCTTCAATAATCCAGTGTGAATATGAATCTCATGTAAACTGGGAAGTAAGGTTTTTAGCTTGCTTTTTTCTGTGAAAAGACATTTTCTAAATACAAGAGGAGGCTGCTAGAGGGGAAAAAAAACACCTTAGATACCACAGAGAATCTTAACAATGGGATCAGAACAGAGAGGCAGGCTGCCACCCAGGATGCTCAAGGCAAAGAGACCAGAGACCGAGGCAGCATGTGAAGGGCAGGAGACCCAGACTCTGCCTTCCCGCAAACGAGATGGAGTTCAAATTCTGCCATCATTGCTACTTGTTAGAGCATTTCTAATGCAGACTCATTATTTGTCAGCAAACAGCAGTTTAGTCACTTGAGTAATCAGAACTTTTATTTTTTCCCTATATCTATACAAAAGCGAATTCAAAAGCTTGACTTACTGAACTAAACTTTATAGCATACTTACATAGCTATATGGAATGAGATGAGTGAGCAGTTATAGATCAATTTTGCTCTTTGAACTATTTTGCATTTTATATTGTCTTTAGTAAAATTCTGATCAAATAATCATACAGATAATTTTGAATCAAATGATTGAAATGATAAAATCATTCATAGAAACTTACCTCAAAGTCAAGGTCTGAATACCGGGATTTTCTTCTCTGTTTTTTTTTTTTATTTTAAAGAAAAAGAGGAAATCAATAAAATTATGTTTAGTCATTCATATAAAATGGAAATCGTAATTGTTAATAAAGCATCTTTGTACACACTTCTTTCACATAAGAAAATTTTCACGGCCTTAAAATATTCTGTCTGCATTATTTCATTTTCTCCCTGAATCTCCCTTGAATTTGTATTTTTGTCTTTAATTTATAATCCAATTTTCAGTTAGGGGAAATGATTCCTGGGAAAATTCACCCATGAGTTTCAATCTGGAAAGAGACTTTACTTCTACAGTAGCAAAACCACTCCTGGCTTCAGCTTTTTTTGTGTAGCTACTGGCGGATCTTCTGCTGACCTCCACCCAAGAGGTGTATCTTATCTGAAGCCCTCAGTCATCTGGGCCAGGCCAACATGTGCTCGGGGGGCCTCTGGGGCCTCCCCTCACCATCCCCCCACCTCTGCTCCTACAAGCCAGTACCATGGAGCCTGGCTCGAGCCCCCTTCCCTACCAGTTCTGCCCGCCTTTCTATCAACGTCATGCACGGCTCCCACATTTCTTGGAATTTGGTAATCGTCCACCAGAGGAAAGTCCCTGACTGCTTGCCTCAGGAGCTGGGGTACTATTCTACCTCAGTCAAGCAAGTACATATTCGACGCCCCAGCAAAATGTCTCACAGTCTTCCTCTGTGGCTGAAAGTTGGGTGGGGTTTTGGAATCTAGTTATAAATAAACGTGATTCACTCTGTGGTGCGCATTTCGGGTGTCTGCCGAGCGCCTGCTGAGGGGCAGATGTGGGGAAATGTGTACAAAGGCATCCAAACATGAAGCAACAAAACCAGTTCCTCACACAGACTTCTAAAAAGGCTTATATTGGTGAAGTGAAGATGAAATGGGGAGAATGAATCAGTATTTACAACAACTAATAGACGGTTGCAAAATAGGTAAAATATGTAAGTTCTTTTTTCTCTAGTTCACATCTTACAACTTACAATCTTTAGTTTTGTATGTGTGTGTGTGTATGTGTGTGCACGCGCGTGCACTCACGCACGCGCCTGTAATGGAGCTTGACCTCAGGGTCTGGGGACTATCATTCAGCTTTATTTGCTCAAGGCTGGTGCTCTACCACCTGAGCCATAGCTCCACCTCTGGCTTTTTGATGGCTAGCTGGAGGTGAGAATCTCACTGATTTCCTGAGACTTTCCAGGCTATTTTTGAGGTGCAATCTTCCTCTCTGAGCCTCCTGAGTAGCTAGGATTACAGGTGTGGGCCACCAACACCAAGTTTTCTCTAAAACTAGGACTTAAGAGTCTAGCAGATGGGGTGGTCATGACAGATGAGACTCGGGGGTTAACACAGGAAGTGTGCACATGTGTGTGTGTGCACGCACACGCGTGTATGTGCTCAGTCAGGAGAGCCGTGGCTGGTAAATGGAACCACGAGCATGTAACAAGTGCAGCGTGGGGAGAGGGACATAAGCGCGTGTGCCCTGTCTTCCTGTCTCCACACACTGACGCCCACTGGCTCATAGCTGACCGAGTGTCTTCAGGTGTGACTGCACTGCTCTGTGGGACACCTTGTAGAGTGTGCCATTCTTGTGTCGTGAGTGAGGAAAACTGCGTTCAGGTAACTCAGTCCTCCATCAGGAGTGCAAAGAGCTAAGACTAAGTAAGGGCAGGTCCACCAAGCAAGCAAAGAGCTGAGACTAAGGGCAGGTCCACCAAGCGAGCAAAGAGCCGAGACTAAGGGCAGGTCCACCAAGCAAGCCAAGAGCTGAGACTAAGAGCAGTCCCCCCCCACATCCAGCTGTCCTCCTTCCTCTTTGTGCAGCACCTCCAGTGGCCCAAACAGGCCTGAGGTCCAAGGTGAACTTTGAGACGCCAGTGGTATTTTTAAGGGGACGCAGTAGCCACGTGACAGTGATTCCAAAGAGAAGCTATGCTGAACCAAACAACCTGGAGCTCATTCTAACACGCGCTGCTTCGGGGGCAGCCACGGATGTGCTGTTCCTGTGGTAAAGCGAGGGTCAGCTCGGGAAGGCAAGCTGCACTTGCGTGAACCGGTGCAAAGGAGGCGCCAGGAACCCAGTCGCCGCTCCAGCCTGGCAGATTCACAATGGATGCAGTCTTTCAAGCCCGGAAGCTTGCAGAAAGCGTGCGTGATTTGCACACTCGTTCGGATATCTTCCTATGGGTGTAAGGACTGCAATTGTTAGGTCTGAAAGTTGTAAATAATGGCTGTGTGTGTAAATGAGAATCAGCTAGCAGGCTCTTCAGATGGGCCAATCACTGAAAAAGAAGGGGTCATGGTGAGGCTAAAGTATGTTCTGAAGATATATAACAAAATAAACACCAGGGAGCGGAACCATGTTTTGTTAGCAGGGTTGGGATAATGAGAGAGGAAGGGAGAAGAACGCAGTCACAGTACTCAGTGCACACGTGTGGACCAGGAGCCGGGTCACTGGAGGGGATGGTGGTGGGGTTGGGAGAACAGCGGGAGGGGCGAACTGAGCAAGACTCAAGAACTGACAGGTTGAGCTGACACCCCTTTGTATAAATACGTAAAGATAATATAACAAATGCCCCTATGTACTTAATTCTCAAATACGCCAAGAATCCTTTTTGCCCCAGTGGACGATGTTTTTCCATGCTGTCTCTTTTTCCTAATTTCCCACTGAGAACTCACTCCATTTGTATTCTCTGTTCTTAACACTCCATTAAAATTCTTCTTGTCAAAGGCCTCTAATGAGCTCCATCTGGTCAAACACCAAGGTCAATGTTTCCATTCTCAGCTTGTTGGACTCTCTGAGCCTTCAAAGCGAACCAGCTCCTCATTAACATACACGTCCTCAGGGCTCCGCTCCTCCCTGCCCCCCCACCCCCACCCTCCCCCCGCCGTCGGGGGCTAAAGCTCATTTTCAAGTCTACATTTTCAGCTCTAACTTACGCCTCTCTTCCTGAATGTGGGGATCCTGAGATCCACACCACACTGGCAGACGACGAGGCATCCTCACTCCCAGCTGTCACACCCATTGGGGAGAGGGTGCCACCACTGTGGAAGGAGGTCTGGAGGTTCCTCAGACACTAAACACAGCACCACCCCATGGTCCAGCCAGGCTGCTCCTGGCATCTACCCAGTGTTACAAGTGAGGATATGCCAAAGACACTTGCACATCAATGTTCCCTGCTGCACTATTTACAACAGCCAAGTTATGGAAACAGCCCAGATGCCCTATAATGGATGAATACATCCAGAAAATGTGACGTGTGTGTGTGTGTGTGTGTGTGTGTGTGTGTGTGTGTGTGTAAAGCAGAATTTTACTTATCCATCAGGAAATATGATATGATGTCCTTTGCAGGGAAATAGATGGACCTGGAAAAAATTAAGTGAAGTGAGCTGGGTATAAAGAGACAAAAGGTGCATGTCTTCTTTCAGATGTGAGAATTAGACCTGAATTATATGTATGTAAGCATACAGGGTCACCTTTATATGTAGACCAGTGTATTAAGTACATGTGGGAGAGGATTCCAGTGGTGTCACTCTTCTAAACAATTAACTGGCCATCTAACAAAGTGAATACCAGGATGCTGGAATCTGTGTTAGTGGGAAAGTGAGGTCAAGGGGAGGGGGAAAAGAAATGGAGAGAGGAGGACTGGGAATGTGGCTTAGTGGCAGAGTGCTTGCCTAGCATGCATGAAGCCCTGGGTTCGATTCCTCAGCACCATATAAACAGAAAAGGCTGGAAGTGGTGCTGTGGCTCAAGTGGTTGAGTGCTAGCCTTGAGCACAAAGAGGCTCAGAGACAGTGGCCAGGCTCTGAGTTCAAGCCCCAGGACTGGCAAGAAAGAAAGAAATGGAGAGAGGAATAGAGGGCAGATGCAATGATAATACGCAGTGTTACAAGCATGATATGGAAATGGAAATAGGTTGTTAAGAGCATGGATTGGGTTGGGAGAGATGAGGAGGATGGAAAGGGAGACACCGATCAAGATGCATCGTACCCATAAACTGACGTGTTGAACTGCGATCCCATTGTATAACTAAAGATAACTTTTTTAAAAGCAAGGGTTGGCTATCTAACTAGCCAAACCTAAAGCATAGGAGTTACCCTTCATCTTCCATACTTTTCCTGTCCTGTCCTTGTTCAACCCACAAGCGCATGCTCTCTTCAACTCTATTCTAGTCTGTTGTTTAACTCTGTTCTGTTCCATTCCATTCTATTCTGTTTTATTCTATTCTGTTCCATTCTAATAGGCTGCATTCTGTTCTATTCTATTGTTCCATTCCTTTCTATTCTGTTGTTTTATTTTATTCCATTCCGTTCTGTTCCCTTTCTCAGATGCATCACACTGGCATAGCTAGTTGGCTGTCCACTCTTATGTCAATGTTTCCTTTACAGTTGGTGTCTTCATCTTGTCGGGATGACATTCAAGCCTCCTAACTGTCCCCAGCCATCTACCCAGCCCTCTTTGTAGCTACTATGCCTCAGTCCTTGGATCTCCACACCCGGGTTGGGATGAGTGGCTGTTGGGGCTGGCGGACTAGAGCCTGGATCGGGTGGTGGCCATCTCCCACTTCAGTCTTCACTGGCTTCCCCCGTCTCCATGGGCACTGGGTCTGGCTCTTCTCTCTTCTCCACACGAGACATTCTCCTTCAGTCTCCACACGAAGCATTCTCCCTCACTGACACGAGTCTTGCGATGTAAACAGGATGAACCAAGCTCCTTCCTCTCCACTTGCAGTTTCTTTGGCCTGGAACATTTCCTTGCTCTCCAGCTCCACCAGCCACGCTCCATCTTCACTTCATTTCCCTTTATTTCTAATTTTATTACAATTTCATTACCTTTCAGTAGTTGTGCAAAGGGCTTTCATCTCAACATGTCAGTTCATGAGTACAACGCTTGCCCCATGCCACCCTTCTATTGTTCCCCCCCCCTTTAAGCCCCCCCCCCACCCTGTGGTGACCTGGCTGCGTGCCCACAGGTGTGCGTTGGTGCCCACAG